CGAGAGAGAGAGAGAGAGAGAGAGATGTGGTTTAACGTCCACTCGACACAAACTAGGTGCTTTCGGGACAAACACATGCTTGAATTTTATTTCAATAATTCGCTTGCGCGTACGGGTCTTTAGCAGTGGAGGAAACCGGGGGACCCGGAGAAAACCTACGAGGTTGGACAGGCGACCCCGCTCCTTGTCACGTACAACCGGAGAATCGAGCCACGCCAGTTTACTCAGTGACAGACCATATGCTACAGCGCGCATTTACTAACCATTCGGCCATCAAACCCCTTCCAAATCAAAAAGATCTTGACAATTTAATGGACAATCCTTTATTGCAATAGGAGGAAAAAACAGGCCCCGTTTCAAGTTGCTCCTCACTCCATAAGGGCGGCTTTCTGCAACTTCAAAAATACCACTTAAGGGTGGCACTTCTTCAAGCAGGCTTATACATCTAAATTGCACTGCTAAATTTTGATTTGGAACATAAAGCATTTTATTAAAATAATTGAGAATGATGGCGTGGTCGGGTCGGAATGAGGAGAGTGTTTGAAGTTTGAGCCGCTACAGCACCATTCTTTCAGCTTTGTTTATATTTAAAACTTACTGAAATTATTTTACTATTTAGCCATTGAAGGGGTTTACAATAGAAACTGCTTACAGAGTCGAAGTCTCCCTTCTTGTATAAATATCCCCCATTGGGAACAAGATTAACTTTTTAACGATCAACATGCTGTAAAGTTGAGTGTTTTTCTTCCTTTTCTCATGTAGATAACTGGGGTGTATGGACCATAATGCACGATAGCCTCGCTTTCATTCTTCAAAAGGCGACACCTGATCAGATATCACAAGGGAAGGAAATTAAAAAAACCTGACAAATCAAAGTTAGAATGAGTGAATGGAGGGTCGGCCATGAAAAGAGTGTTTGTTTACAGTTTTGATGACTTTTTATTCAAGTTTTTGATTCGCTGTAAATACCCCAGCACGAGACCGACGACAGCCATTGTATGACGTATTTTAAATGTAATTTGTCAATTTGTCACTAAACAGTGATGTTGTTATATATTTACATGCAATGAAGCGATGACTATAGACAAGTTTTAAATAAAATACCTGATAAATATTATAAATAAAGGGCCACGGGTCCCCTGCTATTAATTTTAAATGAATATAAAAAAAAATATGCTGATAATAATGTAAACAAAACATGGCGGATTCACATAATTGGGAGTCAAGAATGTAGATAAGGGATACATAATATCAACTCCTCTCTCTCTCTCTCTCTCTCTCTCTCCTTTTAAACGGATCAGCAGTATAAATTGGTTTGACCGCTACTATCACTGATAGGGACGACATCGGGGCCAGTTAATTAGCTCTTAATATTAATCTCTTCCCCTCTCTATACCCCCCCCCCTCTTTTTCTCCCTCTTATTTTTTGCGACGTTTCGTGCTTGATAACGGTAAGAGGATACTTGTCGAAACGTCGCGCTTTTAGAATAAATATTGTTCAAACCTGTGACAAGGGAAGATGCTAACTGTAGAAATTCAGTTTGTTCTTTGTCTTGACAAGTACATAGTTATTGCCCTTTCCTACAAATACTTGATTTGTGGGCTGTTCGTAGGCCGAGTAAATTACTTTGCACGATTTCTTTTGCACACGAATGTTGATCTATAAACTATGCTACCTGTAGAAATTCAGTTTTTTTTTGTCTTTGGAGCGTTCATAGTTATTGCCCTTTCTTGCAAATACTCGTCTTCTGTGCCGTGAGTAGGCCTACTGAATTACTCTTCACGATTTCTTTTGCACACCTAAGTTAGTCTATAAACTGCCTCCATTCATCAGTTTTAGATATATAAATATTATATTCCGAGGTTTCGTATTTTGATTATTATTCTATACGGGGTAATGATTGTTATTTCAAGTATGTGTTTAGAATAACAGTCGCCAATGTATACATCGTGTAGCGTGCCTTGTAATAGTTCAAATCTTCTTAACATATATACAATAAAATACATCTTGTATACGTCTAATAATATCAAATATATACAGGTGTCGTTTCATCGTATCTTTTACCAAATTCCACACGTTTTGTTTGCTTAGTTTCGTATTAGTTCGAAGGTCAAGATTCTCAAACGCACGCGCGCACGAACAATACCGGAAGTAAGGTGATTATAGACCCGCAGTTTGTTATTTCACAAAGAAACGGTATTTGATAATTGATCCATGGTTATTAGACGTGTGATTGTGTGGACGATACAGTGTAGAATTTGTGATAAATAATATTTTTTTGTCAAGCGACTGTAATAAGTATTTTGATTAGTTGTACACGCGTGTCACGTTATAAAGGAGAGGGAATCAATAGCAACCCTACGCCGGAAAAAAAAATCTACAATTTATTTGTTTGTTTATTAAGATAGTAACAAATTGTGGGAGGGGGAGGGGCGCTTAGAGAACCATTTAGACACCTGCACGAAATCACCTTAATTCCGAAAAACTTTTGCCTTTTTAAGGGAAGGAATGTAGTAATTGCACGAGTACAACGAATAATGATTATTTTGTAACCTTCTCAGATTTATGGCGTGCACGTAAAAGAAGCCATGGCAGTTGGAGAAAACGCCACTTTCATGGTAAAATGAGCCACTCACATTCCACAAGTAACCGTTGCCATGAGAGAGAGAGAGAGAGAGAGAGAGAGGGAGAGAGATGGGGTTTAACGTCCACTCGACACAAACTAGGTCATTTCGGGACTAATATATGGTTTAATTTTATTTCAATAATTCGCTTGCGCGCAGGGGTCATTAGCAGTGGGAGGAAACCGTAAGACCCGGAGAAAACCCACGAGGTTGGACAGGCGACCCTACTCCTTGTCATGTACAACTGGGGAATCCAAACCACACCAGTCGACAAAATGACAGACCTTAGGATACAGCGCGTGTTGACCTAATTCCATTCCAATATTATTGTTGGAACTATATTGACTGGATTTTAAATTCCATTCCCATCAGACGCTTACTTACAAAATAACCCATGGCTACCACTGGCAAAAGGTTTAAAGAACCCACATATTTCCACACATCAGACAGTTGCTTGGATAGAACCCAAAAATTTCCACAAATCAGACGGTTGCTTGAATAGAACTCACATATTCCCACCACTGACACCTATTCAGTCGGCCAAACCCAGAAAACATTTGTCTGCGATATGATCAGTTGGAAGCGGGAATTAAGCCAGATATTACTTCAACCCACCACTGACATACGGTTGCTTTAAAATAGCGCACTCATTCCTACCAATCGGACGATTGCTTTAAAAATACCCCAAACATTTTCATCAATAATACGACAGCTTTAAAATAACCCAAACATTTCCACCAATGGTACGGCCGCTTGAAAATAACCCAAACATTTCCACTAATAACACGGCCGCTTTAAAATAACCCAAACATTTCCATCAATAATACGACAGCTTTAAAATAACCCAAACATTTCCACCAATGGTACGGCCGCTTGAAAATAACCTAAACATTTCCACTAATAACACGGCCGCCTTAAAATAACCCAAACATTTCCTCCAATGATACGGCCGCTTGAAAATAACCCAAACATTTCCACCAATGATACGGTCGTTTTAAAATAACTTAAACATTTCCATCAATGATACTGTCGCTTTAAAATAACCCAAACATTTCCACCAATGATACGGTCGCTTTAAAAGAATCTAAACATTTCCACTAATAATACGGCCGCTTTAAAATACCCAAATCATTTCCATCAATGATACAGCCGATTTAAAATAACCTAACCATTTCCACTAAAATACGACCGCTTTTAAATAACCCAAAGATTTACACCAATAATACGACCGCTTTAAAATAACCCAAAGATTTACACCAATGATACGGTCACTTTAAAAAAAACCATCAACCATCAAAAACGGTATAATATCTCAATTATATAATTTATTCATTAACAACAGAAATAATGACAAATACAAATTGATATTTACAAGGCAATGACTAATATATATATATACATTGTTTCATGTATTATGACATTTTAATATATATATATATATATATATATATATATATATATATATATATACGGCCGGTTATTTGCACAACGTCATACAGGATGCGTTTTATTGATTAAGAATATCATAATTTAAACCAATTAATTTAAAGTGGGAATTTCCCGACTTTTTGACTGCAGCAAACACATTTTCAAAACATTTATTGGATGTTGTGATGAAGAATATGTTTAAATTATATTAAATACCACTTCGCTAATACTGAATATTTTCGCAACAGTTTTTGCTATAATACATATAGTCAACTAATATGAAATATTAAAGTGGGAATTTCCCGACCTTTTGACTGCAGCAAAAACATTTTCAAAACATTTATTGGATGTTGTGATGAAGAATACTAAGTTATATTAAATACCACGTCGTCAATACTGAATATTTTCGCAACAATTTTGTTATATTAGATAATTAGTGCACCAATATCAAATATTAAACTGTATATACAATAACGAAATTGGGGTGTAACGTCCTACTTTTCTGTCCGGACTGGGCTAATGAAGACGGGCATACATAATACAGTGTGCTATGAAGACAAGTGTGCCCGTACAGCTGCGCTACGGCTACAGCCAACTCTTATTTCAAATTCTGTCACGGGATCCTTTACGTGCACACCAATGTGTACTGGAACAGATAAATGTGAATAAAACAATTTAGTCGGCTTCAAAAGAAATGAAATATATTTTAACGTCCCATGTTACTGAGCCAACCGGTCTGACTAAATCGGAAAACCCGGAGAAAACACACGAGGTTGGACTGGCGACCCTACTCCTTGTCAAGCGGGGAATGGAAACCACTTCACTTCGACTCAATCACAGACCTTGTAATTTCAGGCGATCGCGTTAAACCACTTGCCCCCCCCCCCCCGACCCCCGGGGATAATAGGATAATGAATACGCGGCTTATAGAAGTTATATGTATGAATTTAAGTCCCGTGGAATGTTTCTTGTATAAAAGGAAATTTTTTGTTTGGGTGGAGATGGGGGGGGGGGGGCGCACAAGACACGTTTTAAAAAAAGGCATATAGATCTTTAAATGGTCTGTTAATTTATAACGTAAAACCCTGCGAATAACAAATGACATACATCCGCTAATTATTAACAGACTGTCAGGTGTGTAACAATTTGTGAATAACAAATAGCATGATAGATATTCGCTAATAATTAACAGGTTACATTTTAGTAACAACTTGTGAATAACAAATACATCCGCTTATAAATAACAGACAGCCGCGTTTATAACAATTTTAAATATTCGGTTAATGATTGACCACATGCGCGCTGTATCATAACAATTTTGGCGGTTTTTGTTGACATTTATATATGTGTTTAAGGCTAGTATCATTGTATTAATACTCGGGGGAGGGGGGTAGCGCTGTATCATAAGGTTTGTCATTGAGTCAACTGGTGTGGTTTTGATTCCCCGGTTGTAAATGACAAGGAGTAGGGTCGCCTGTCCAACCTCGTGGGGTTTCTCCGGGTCCTCCGGTTTCCTCCCACTGCTATAGACTCCTAAGCGCACGCGAAATCGAAATATTGAAATGGAATTGAACCATATGTTGATCCCGAAATAACCTAGTTTGTGTCGAGTGGACGTTAAACCCCATCTTTCTCCCCTTCTCTATACTATCTGACAATGCCCATAAAGAATTAAAGAGCTGATTTGTTTTTTTAACTGGACGTATTTTATTATGCATGTGTATATACAAATGTAATATTTTGTGAGTTCCACCGTTTCCAACAATCGCAATACTGAAAGGGGGCATGCAAACATAAAATATACAATTACACACATATAAATATTAATGTTAATGCACCTTAAATATATAAAACAATAACATGTCATTTACAATTAATTACAATTAATCATAACAAATTCTAAAACCATATTGCTATTTACAATTAATCATACCAAATTCTAAATCCATATTGCCATATACAATTAATTACAATTAATCATAAAAAATTCTAAAACCATATTGCCATTTACAATTAATTACAATTAATCATAACAAATTCTAAAACCATATTGCCATTTTCAATTAAATACAATTAATCATAACAAATTCTAAAACCATATTGCTATCTAGAAACCTTTTTAATTATTTTTAATGAGGACGCAGTTTAAATAAATGAAACAATAAAATGCCATTTAAAATTAATTACAATTAATTATAACAAATTCTAAACTGAGGACGCACTTTAAATAAATAAAACAATAAAATGCCATTTACAATGAATCATAATTCAATAACAAATTCTAAAATCCTACTGCTATCTATAAACCTATTCATAGGTTTATTCTGCTCATGCCCCACCCCACCAATAACTTCATCAATATTTATAATTTTACAGGTAGGGAGTTATAATCAGGTAACACAAATCACAATTAGTATTAGCAAATAGGAAATTAATTAAATATAATGAATTGTGCATCCATTAAAGCATACAGGTCAATACAATAAACATGACATGGAGCATGATTACTATCTTTGGGGGTTCTCTCAACTTTAACAAGCAAATGATATAAAAACCCTTATTTATTATATTCATCATTTGTCTGCGATATCACCTCGGTGGAAGCGGAAGTTAAATAAAGATATTTCGCACACATATTATTCATCATCATTTGCTTGATAACGTCAAGGGAACCCTCAAAGAAACGTCGCTTTAATTAAAATAGTAAGTGTGTCTATAAACTTTCTGTATATTATTTTCATCATCATTTGCTCGATAACGTTGAGAGAACCTCAATGAAACGTCGCTTTATGTTCCATATTATGTTTTTGTGTTTATTACATGTGTCAATTGTTAAATGCTACTAACATATGATAATAACGAGTTTAATATTTCTATAATTTAAACAACTTTAAATTAATACCTAGTGATTTATTTCTAAAATTTAAACAAAAGTAAATTAATACCTAGTGATTTATTTCTAAAATATAAACAACGATAAGCTAATACCGAGTTCAATATTCGTATTTAAACATACATTATGCAAGAGCTAAATCTGCCTATTTCGGGTCTTTCTTTCGGCCTGAAATGTTATCTAAATTATTAATTAAACATTAATTGACTTAACCAGACCATAATTAACTCTCGATGTCATCGCTAGCCTGCGATATTTACCGGATTAGGATCCGATGTGCTGCTCAACGCTTATTCATGATTAAATCAAGAAATGGTAATCGAGACTATGTTTTTTTTATCGTACCGACTTTAGTAATGATGATCGAGGCTAAGCCCAAAATTCAATCGCTAAAATCTCGGTTGAGAGTGGATCAAATTGACTGAAATTTTCAGCAAATTGGCTTGACAGTATCTAGTTTTTAACTATTATAGCGAGAACTGTCAGCTCTTTATCTAATCTCCCATAATGTATCTTTAAACAAAGTTAATATGGAGTAAATTGTTTCTGTTTAAATAAATTAATACTCAGTAAATAATTTATGTTTGAACAAAGAATAAATATCACAGAATACAATGCATCATTTGACATCGATACTAAAAATCACGACGTTCTCGAAGATGACGATACTGGAGTAAATGATGAATTTGGGGAAGTCACCAAACCTCCTGAGGAAAATCTGTTGAGGTGCATCCCTGCGCCACTGTCTGTACCCACAACGAAGGGAAAATTGTTCACAGAGGACATAGCACGGATACGATTAAAGAGGTCGGCTTGCGATGCATTATTGGAATGAGCCATTGGTGGGAACAGAAAATGTCCCGAATGGCAGGCAAAGGCACTTGTTGCTTGAGATGGAGATGCATTTAATAAGTCTGATCTGGTCATTGTGATAGGCCGTTTGGGTGAATGTTCCGAGGATAAAAGTTTATCAACTGAAAAATTTAGTATTCCGTTTGCTGTTGTTGGAGACGACATGTTGAAGTAAGGACTTGGAAATTGTGATGCTATGGATGCTAAATGTGCCATAGGAGGCCCTGTCATTGCATACGGCACACCCATTGGCCACCCGAGGGAGCCGAAGCGGTCCTGTTGAGGTAGATACCCGCCCAGTCCTGGGTAAGGCATGCCAACTTTTCTCATTGCCGCTAAGCGGTTCCTGGCGGTGCTACACGATCGTCGCCGCAGCTTTCCCGTGGTTCCACCAATAAATACGTCATCACATGAAGGATCCAACATCCAATAGTTTCCTTTTCCAGGATCGTCGTAATGTCGAGGAACTTTAAGGAAACATTTGTTTAAACTGAGATTGTGACGAATAGAATTCTGCCATCCTTGTTTGTTGTCCTTATAATACGGGAAGTTTTTCATGATAAATTCATAGATCTGACTCAGTGTCATCCGTTTCTCATGACTGCTTCGTATCGCCATCATAATCAAGGCATTGTAACTGAACGGGGGTTTGTCGTTTTTTTTGCTACTTTCATTCTCCTTCTCCGAGTCACCAGAAGGTGAAACGTCCCCATCGGATTTAACACCACTGACGTCACTCTCGGATATGACGTTATCATTGTTCACGTCATCGTCAACAACTTCAATTGAACTATCTAAATCTTCATGGCTGTTGCTATCACTGTCATTCAATTCCAAATCCTCCTTTGAATCCAAATGTTCCACATCGATATTTGAATCCTCGTTAAATTCACAATTGAATTTTTCACTCACATCTTTCGTGACATCTTTGTTCATTGTTGTATTCGCCACACTATTAGGATGCATGCTGCTTAGACATTTTGAATTTTTCAAATAAAATTCTTCATACAAACGATTAGCATTGCGATGTTCTTCGTGAAACTTTTTAGACGAGAAATCGTCACCTAAAACTCTGCTGATGCTGAATGGATTCGGCGACTTTTGTTGACTCAACATGGCTGTATGTTATCGTCTGCTTGTTCATCTAATACTAAAAGAATGTAATTCCGTGGTCTTTTATAACAGCAGCATCGTTTCACAACCCACATTGTTTGTAGCCAACTGCCACGCTTCGTAGCACTCTGTCAATAACAAAGCTGTCAATTTGCGCAAGCTCCACCCACTTTCCACGCGATTTTTAATGAGCAGCTGTCGGACGACCAATGAAAAGGCCTGTAATTGATCCAGAAGTGTTAGACAAATATTTGAATAGATGATTTTGATTGAGTAGGATTGATACAATATATTGAGCGATTTAATTTCCATGTTTTGTTGTCAGACTTTTTGAAATGATCGTGTTCTTTGAAAAGATTTGCGTTGTGGGGAATGTTTTTATATGATTTACACCATTTTATTCATATTTTCATTTAGTTTCATAAATCGGGTTTTTTGTTGCGGTAGAAAAAGACACTGACTGAACAATATATTATGCAAGAGCTAAATCTGCCTGTAGCAGGTCTTTCTTTAGGCCTGAAATGTTATCTAAATTATTAATTAGACTTTAATTAACTTATCCAGAACATAATCAACTCTCGATGCCATCGCTAGCCTGTGATATTTAGCGGATTGGAATACATGTTTTGAAAAATAATTAAATGTGAAAGTGGATAACCGAGACTATAGTAATGATGACCGAGGCTAGCCTAAACTTCAAAAGCTATCTCGGTTCAGAGAAGAGTAATTTGACTGAAATTTTCAGAATAGTCTATTTATGCTATCTGGTTTTTTTAACTATTATAGCGAGAAGGGTCAACTCTTTACCTAATCTCCCACAATGTATCTTTAAGGAGATAAAACTTGTTATTATTTGCACAAAGATTAATATTTTGCGCTCGTCCTTTCAAACTGATCATCTATGAATATTCGTCTGGCCGCTACTATATCACTGATAGGGATGACATCGGGGTCAGTTAATTAGCTCTCAATATTAAAGATACATTATGGGAGATTAGATAAAAATCTGGCAGGTATCACTTTAATAGTTAAAAACTTGATAATGTAAAAGGAATTTGCTGAAAATTTCAGTCAAATTGATCCACTCTTAACCGAGATTTTAGCGATTGAATTTTCGGCCTAGCCTCGATTATCATTACTAAAGTCTGTACGTTAAAAGTTGAGCAGCAAATCGGATCCTAATCCAGTAAATATCGCAAGCGGGGAGATGATATCAAAAGTTGATTATGGGCTGGATAAGGTAATTAATATCTAATTAATAATTTAGATAACATTTCAGGCCTAAAGAAAGAAGACGTGCAAATGGGCAGATTTAGCTCTTGCACATTGTATGTTTAGCCTTTTTTTTTGTAAATAAAATTCTAAAATAATTCTTAAAATTATTATGAAAAGAAATAAAGGTGTTTGAAGGATAACATTATATATCCTATTTAGGCATAAATTAAGTAAAAGGCACTAGATAAAAGAAAGGCAATCGCATTGCCGCTATGAAACAGATAGTTGTTCTTTTTGTTGCACATTTGTCAAAAAATATGTTTCATTAGTACACTGATATATTTGGTTTTACCCGGGGTGTAAAATCAGAACAAAAATATGAACACCGTTTCATTGGCTTATCCCTCACTTCACCCAAAACGCCGGTAATGTAACAACTCTTCCAGATCCTAGTGTAGTAAAAACAAGTAAAACGAAATTTTGAACTAAAAAAAACGAAACGAAATAGGATCTGTGCTTGAATCAGATTGTGTTTACACCCAATTTTGCTCATAGCACACAGTATGACGTACGCTCGTCTTCATCAGCCCAGTCGGTACAGGGTGTTAAATTTCATTTCATTCTGTTTCTGTAGTTCTAATAGTGTTTCCAACAGATTGAATCTTCTAGGCTAGTTAAATTTAAACTAAGAATTTGTATACGGGGGAAATATTTGAATGGCGGCACCCTCTAATTATCAGTATTGACAATTAACAATTAACAAAAGAGAGAGAGAGAGAAATGGAGTTTAACGCCCACTCGACACAAACTAGGTCATTTCGGGACTAACATATGGTTTTTAATTTTATTTCAATAATTCGCTTGCGCGTAGGGATCTTTAGCAGTGGGAGGAAACCGGAGGACCCGGAGAAAACCCACGAGGTTGGACAGGCGACCCTACTCCTTGTCACGTACAACTGGGGATTCGAAACCACACCAGTTGACTCAATGACAGACTTTTATGATACAGCGTGCACACGCTAACCAGTCAGCCATCCAACCCCCCTAACAATTAACGCTACGTTCCATATCTGACTGGATGTTGTCAAAAGACGAATTTGTGTGTAGGACTGCGTTGCTATTTTATAGTATAATTAACACGTTTGTTAAAGATACATCCTCTCTATCAAATACATCAACAGGGGACAGAATGGATACAGACCACAAATTATTCCTGTCCCCTCTACCCCAACCCCCCTTTAATAAGGATTTGTTATTAGCCCAGTTGGTGCTGAGGAAGACTGTTTATTAAAGAGATGATACCAAAGAATTTGTATACAGGGGGGGGGGGGGGGGTATTGTGACCGTTTACAAGGAACTGTCGCTGAAAAAGAGTGTCTGTTCTTACAGATCTTTCTGTACAGTCATAATATACTCTTTAAAAAAAAGTAGGGGATATACAGAAACAATACAAAACTGTCGAAATACACTGCTGTTTTTATTAGAGGTAACCAGTGTATGTTAATAACAGGCCAATTGCCTACACATGTTCATAAACAGGTTCATATGGGCGGCTTATCTGACGGCCCCATTTCACTCGCAAAGAGAAACCCCGTCAAAAGTGAAAATGGACGTTTTTGATTTTTGTCTTAATAATGAGTAATTGCTCCACCAGTCCTCAGACATTCAGCAATTCGTCGTGGCATGCTCCTAATCAACCATCCAATCACGATTTGGGGCAATCTGACCCACTCCTCTTGCAGTGTCACGGCCAATTCTTGTAGTGTTGTCGGTTGACGTTGACGTCGACGAACACGTCTCCTGATCAAATTAAACGTAACACACAGTAAATCTTATGCAAAAACCGATAGGAAAGCAAACATGGATAGATAAACCAGCACGTGGCAGTTTTCATCAACCCTTCCTTGAAGTGTCAAATTTGACAATGAATCTCCCAGTCCCACATGTATGGCGCTATTGTCAAAGCTTGTCAAGTGTCCATGACAAATGATCATATCGCAACCTGCATAGGTATTTGCATCTGAATATCCCCTCCTTTTTTAAAGAGTATATTTTAATGGCTGCTTCTTCTAATTATTAATATCGACAATTAAAAATTAACGCTACGTTCCATATCTGGCTGGATGTTGTCAAAATCATTAATTTGTGTGTAGGACTGCTTTGCTATTTTATAGTATAATTAACACGCTTGTTAAAGATACATCCTCTCTATCAAATACATCAACAGGGGACAGAATGGATACAGACCACAAATTATTCCTTTACCCTCTTTTTTTCCTCTACCCCCTTTGAATATCGATTTGTTTTTGTATAGACCTGAAGAAATTTGTTTAAATTCACATTATCTTCACAATGAATATCATGATTTTGAGACCGAAGGATAATAATATATTAAAAAAATATTTCAAATTAATCGCGGATGTTCTAGTCCTTTCAAATCTCGTCTATCCAATGGTTTACAGAATTGATTAAGGCCTGGCATGCGCATAAATGTCTAAAGAATAGTTTATATAACATTTTAAGCTAAAATAAAGACCTGACATGGGTAGATTTAGCTAGTATATAATGCATTTTTTTTATTGCGCATCTATGGCAAGGTTTGGGGGCGTTTGCGTAAAACTTTTCTCCACAAGAGTTCCACAAGATATTGGGTTTCTGAAAATAAATACATTCCACAAGATTTTCGACTTAAAATAATATTCATAGAGTGGTTTGGGTCTGTGATGTTTGTCACCACCAGAGTTCCACAAGAAATTGGACATAGAAAAGATTCAATTTTTTCAAAAAATTCTTCTCAGACACCCCTATATGCCTGTGTGGTACCACATTCCACAAGATTTTCGACTTAGAATAATTTTGACAGAGTGTTTTGGGTTTGTGGTGGTTTTTTTACCACAAGAGTTCCACAAGATATTGGACTTACGTAAAACAAAATCAATTTTTTCAAAAAATTCTTCTCAGACCTCCCTATATGCCTGTGTGGTACCACATTCCACAAAATTTTCGACTTCGAATAATTTTGATACAGTGTTTTGGGTTTGTGGTGTTTTGGACCATTGGTTAGATCGTGCAATTGGTTAGATTGTACAATTCTATTGTATTGGACTACACGAGTAATTCCATTTCCATTTTAAACTTAGGTTATCTGTCTACAGTTAGCTCCGCTTCAGAACAGACACTAAGCTAGTTGACCGACATTTTAAGTCCTAGATCAAAGATTTTAGTCGAAAACACTATATATACCTATTAAATATTTATTCTGCTTCCATTTAAAGATGGGTTCCCGCGTACAAACTGGGTGATTTAATGGTATATATGGACCAAAAACATATTCAAACTAATTAATTTGTCATAATTTTGCTTCAAATCCTTCTCAAACATTGTAATTGCGAAGGAATGCCCTGCTATTAAAATTCGATCAAACTAGGTCATGTTTACGTCACGTCTTGGGAGTCAGAGGAGAATTTATTGCATACATAAGACGATGTTGTCTTTAATCGCTTACTATTTATTACAAATATCGAATCCTAATTAAATTCTCGGATTATCCACTACCCGCGTCTTTTTCCGTCATTTTTATCTCAGAAAGTATTGTACGTCTAACTCTTCATAAAGTTTACATCAAGCGCTCAATGTTCGCTTGTGGCCTTTGACATCACGAGTGCAGAAGCTCCTAATCGTCGGGCTGTCGATTAGGGGAACCCTTACATTTTTGTCCTGTATACGCTCCATGAGTGTTTTTCGGGGAATCCAGTGTTTTTCTAGTTAGATTGGATATCTCTACTTTCCATATATACCAAAATTGCCATACTTTTATTGGAAATAACCACCCGATAAATACTTTTCTGGGAAC